TACAAATTCAAGATAGTAAGTGTCCTATTACTTCATTACATGTTCTTAATAATATTGAAAATTCGTACTTAAATGAATCTACACCTCAACTGCTAATTACTGAACAACAGGCATTTATTTTATCTAAACATTACATCCTTGTTGTTACTTTTGAACCATTTCAAACTGATGTCATTGGTGTTGATTGTGATTTAAAATTTGGTGGAGGTTCAGTAGTAAACAATTATGGTATGTTTTTCACTCAATCTCATTGTTTAACTGTAGTCACTAAAATAACTAATGTAGAGTATGATTTCAATGAATCAAGAAGTGTTCTTCAATCTCCAGATTTAAATCAATCTGTTGCTATAACTGCTGAAGTAGAAAGTGGTAGCAACGAAACTAGATTAAAGTCGGCTTTTCTACAGTTTGTTAGCCGTAAAATTGACAATTGTAGAGCACTAGTGAAACAAGCATGTCCAGAAGAATTAAATTCAGCTGATGAATCTAACCTTGATAAAACTGTATTTAAAGTTGGAGAAGATCTTGTTAATGATATACCCATTAATGATCCACGTTGGTTAGGTGTTCATGGTGAACCTACTATCAGATCATCGTCAATGGTAATATTAAGTCATCTAGAAGAAAAACAGCAAGCAATACATTGGTATCTTAAATTTTTACAAGAGCTTGGATTATGGGATCGTATGAGGCAAATTAATAAGTATGAGACTCAAGTCTATACAGGATGTGCTTTAAAAGATTTGAGTGAAAAATTACAAGCTACATTAACGTTTCGAAAAATTGAAGCTGAACATAGTGAACTATTAGATAAGTTAATAAAAGAAGCAGTCGAAAGCAACTGTGATAGTTATTCTTCACCACCAGGCCTTACACACATTGATAAGTTTTATAAGCAAGTCAGTATGTCACATGTTCTTTTGCAGAGACTATGCATGTATAGTGAAGAAATTTCTTTTACAAATCGTAGTGCTGTGGATATATGTTTAATTTTATGCAATGTTAATAGAATATTAGTGAAAGTGCTTTGTGCTGTATTAGATTACAGAAGACAGAACATTGAATTTTTCCCGATTGACAAACAAAAACAATCAAAAATATCTTGGATTTTATGTGAAAAAAGTGAAGGCATATGTTCTGAGCTTATAAAACAAATAAATATTAGTCTTGAATTCGCTAAAAAGGCAAATATTACCAAGGAAGTTCGTTCAGAAATTTCTGATCAAGTTGCATTTTTAGTAGATGCCTTACTATCCAGCTCTATTGATGTATTTTCTGAAATGGACGGCAACTATATACAACTTAGGTATAAACTACTTAAAAAACTTATGGAGTATAAAGAACACCACAAAGTAATTGAATTGGCTGAAAAATATACAGATCATAGAGTTATAGTAGAGGTTTGTTCTGAAACTAACAATATTGATTTATTGTATAGTTTTATGGACAAACTTTATGAACAAAATTTTCGTCAAACAGTGTTTTCTTGGTACTTAGAACAAGGTAAAATTGTGGAAATGTTACGTAATTTTTGTCGGAAACCTAAATATGAACATGATATAGCATTAGCATTAGAAGCATATCCAAAGTATGGTTGGATAGCTGGAAGTCTTTCTGAAAATATAAACCTAACGTGTGAATCCTTAAAACAGTGCTGGTCCAAGGAGGAAACAAATGTGCTTAGAAAACAATATCAATTGAATTTATATAAAATGGCAATTTTGGCAAAAAATGGGCCATTAGCTAAAAACCCAGAATTAGATGTAATAGATAGGAATTTGGAAGTTATTGAACATCAAATTAATATTCCTGAGTGTGTTCTGGAGTTATTGAATTTAAATTTGAATAATATGCGCGTTTTATCTCCTGAAGAAATTTTCAATCTATATTTACACAAAAACAATATTACCTTGGATGAAAACCAATGTTTACGAGCTCTGTCCGTGTTACAATTTGTTCAAAATAAAGAAGAACGTGATAAACTCAGTCGCTATTTATGGTGTGAAACAATACTAAGAGAGACATTAAAATATCCACTGCATGACGAAGTGGTTGATAATCCTATTCAACTTATAGAAAATCTTTTATTCTTCAAGACATTAACACTCATGTATAACAAAGGCCTGTTAGATCTCTTACCATCCTTAGACTGGTTGTTATTTGCAGATGAATTAGAAAACTTCCATTCAAACACCATGTGGCAGTTTGTTATGAAAATGGGATTTGAACATTGTTTAAGACCTGCTGGTGTTAGTATGGATTTTTAAACTTCACTTGTTCAGTAATTTATAAATATTGATTTCAAGATTAATTTGTTTTTTTAATATACTTATGTGTATTTATTTTAATTTTGTGTACATAATATTTTGTAACAATCTTAAATTTTTATTAAATTTGGTTTATTATATTGGTTGGTTATGAATTTATTATTTTAATAGTGTCCCTATAAATGCATGTAATATCCATTATTTTAATTCAATGTTTGATAAATTATATTATGCTGTTTAATGAAATGTTACAATAACAAACTTTACTTGAGAATTAAGTTACTACCTAAAAAAAACAAATTTTCTAACATTAATAGTCACTAGTCACAGTAGATTCTATAAACAACAAACATTAAACATTATGTTTATGATGATTTTAAATAATTTGAGATTATCAAATTATTATTAGTTATTGCTTATGGTCTTAATTAATTAATATAATATTATATAAATATAAGTTCTAAAAAAAAGATTGTACATAGGTAATAATTCAAAAAGTAGGTATATCTCTAAATATTGAGTATGCTAATTTTAAAATAATTAAAATATTATAGGTATAATTGTTAAATAAAATGATGAATAATTATACATTTCAGTAGTTATGTACTATGTCATATGTTGTATACTTTTCATATGATTTAGTAGCGTTTCACTTGTGTAAGTTAAAATAATTTTTGAAGTACAATGTACATATTAAATTAAGAATAACAATCATAAAATTATTAATCACAAATTTTACATCGTATTAAAACGTAGTAAACTAATATTGTGACATTTATATTTATTGAAATATAATTCTGAATTTAATCGAATACGTAATTGTACAATTCGGACGTACATAAATTCTTCAAAACAAATCATGTTATACTACTTATACATATTTTTTAAATTATTTAATTTAATATGTGTTGGCATATCACATGTTATTACATGTCTTAGACGTAATCACAAGGAAAAAAGTATAGTAACGGTCTAATATGCGATCTACACACTGATTTAAAGTCCAATACTCGACTACGTCATAAATGTAAAATATAAATAATTTTAAATAACCGTTTTTCTATTCCATTTCTCAGTGTCGTCTATAACTGTATTATTTCAGTTTATATTGTTATAAAACGTATTTTTCATATCGGTCAAAAAGTTATCAAAAATGGTTTTTGGATTTTGACACGATCCTCACCACTCTTCTTGGAATTTTCTGTCTAGTAAAGGAGACGCCCCATTCTTTTTAATATTATATTTGGATTTTATAATATTCTCCATAGGCCTTCAATTTATCGAGTGTGGGCTCCTGTTTCCGGGTCAATAAAAAATTCTGAATGATTAACTGTTTGATGAATATTATATCCATGTTGATTTAATGTCGAGTACTCTCTTCATTGGTCACTATAAATTGTCGTTCCCGTTTTTATTTCATTTTCAATCATTTGTAAAAGAGTTTCTCGGTCCCGTTTTTCTACGATAAAAAATCTCCGTTCTAATAATAAGCACTAAACGAAAATAACCGCGATAAAGAAACATGTAGATCAACACAATCTTATCGGTAGGTCGAGTAATATTTGTAGGTCGCGTATTGGACCGTTATCGAAAGTATTAACACGATAAATTCTCGCGTCTCGGTGAATAATTCGCCTATTCCTCGTGAACCATGAGTTCATTTTTTAATATTGCGATCAAAGAAAGCGAAACAATTATCTGGCACTTATCAAATATCATTGATTATAGAACAGCCTATTCTATAATCAATGGTATTATTGAAATACACGTCCCGAAAATCCAATTACTGGCAATTACAAACTATAGTCCGCGACACGAAAAGTGGCCCCTGCCCCCTGTGTACCGCGACCCGTTGCTGCTTCCCTACCAGTTAGCCTTTGACTCTCAACCTATACTACATAATCCGTGGCTGCACCACTCGTAATACAATTTTAAGTTTTCAATGTTTTTTATTTGATTTGAATAAACAAACGATTGATTTATAAATTATTCAAAGTATTTTCAGTGAATTCATTTTTAATTCAAAAAAACGTGGCAATTAGTTTGATTACGTTATGAACCACTGAGGCGAAATGGCCGCTAGGTTCGTGACGGGCAGGGGCCACTTTTCAAAAAAACACTGACCAGTGTCACTCCCCCCCACCACAACCCACAAAGTAATCTTGTATTATTCTCATCTTCGTCTATGATACCTATCGCGATTCACGCTCATATCGTGTATCTGACAGATACTATCTGCATACCAATAATACCGCCCCATCGTATACTTACTGATGCACATGATCTATGCCCAGAATAAACGAGGATAAGAATTAAGAAATAAGAATATGAGATTACCTACTTGTGACCGTAGGTGCACTGGGTAGTGTTCTTTTCTTTTTTTTAGTATAATACGATTCGTGAAAATATACAAAACCATCGTACCTGTGTAACATGATCCCAGAAACTCAAACAATATTGTTATATAATGTTTATGTAATAACGAATAATATTGTATTACCTTCTGCAGCGCCAATCACCTACACGTAGATGGATACTGGATAGTATTTAGTAGTATTAAGATACCTACCTACCTAATAAATTTAATAGAATGTCAATAAATAATATTAATAGTCAATCAAAATAAATAATATATGGCTCACAATTAGACGATAAAAAATTAAATTTTCTAGTAGTGGGTATAGGTATTGGGTAGGTATGTATTTTATCTATTTTTGTTGATTAAAAACGTGATGAGTATGAATGATTTAGTTTATTTTATAAGAGTGCCGGGCATTGGATCACTTCTCACTTTCTCTTATACATATTTTTTCTTATCATAATTAATTACCTAGTCAATACCTACCTACAACCTACTTAATTAAACTCGTGGTCGGTAATGGTTTGGTATGAATTTAGTAGTTTAAAATTGTACGTTTATTTACAGTTAAAATAATAAGACTTCAGGAAAACTATTGAATTAAAAACAACTTACAAAAGTTTAGTATCTCCCTAGCCATAATTTAACAATGTTAATTTAATATATTATGCATTAACCATACAAATATAATATACCTACTTTACTAATACTCTTAGTGCCTGAGCATAGATTTAGATTTTAGGTATCTATTTATAAACATTTGAGTAGTTAATGCTTATGAAGTGATAACTAATTAATATAATTGGCTTTTAATAATGTTTTACAGTCATGGAAAATTGGAAAAAAATTACCTATGTGGTTGCCGTTTTTATGTTTTTAATACAAGTACGGCCACTAGAACCATATTTAACACCTTATCTCAGTGGACCAAATGGAAAAATTTCTCTTTCAGAGGTATGTGTATAAATAGTATTTTTTTCTAAATTTTTGTTTTAAAATATTTCTACCAATAAAAAAAGTATTTATAATTTTTTGTTTAAATAACAATTACATGGTCATATTATTTGATAAGTTATAATTACTATTTATTTTTGTATGAACTTAATTATAATGTAAACTTTAAAATAGTGTATAGTTATAGTAACTAGAAAGTGTAAAACTAAAACTAGACATTATGTTACAGAAATAATAATAAATAGGTACTTAATGCAGTATATAACAATTGACAACATAATATAATCTAACTGTTTTATTATTAAAATTGTGTTAATTGTGTAATTTTTGATATTTGTAGATTTTCTTTCCATATTCTTATGAATTATTTATTATTGAGTGACCTACATAATTGTTTTTGTACCCAATTGACATAACTGTATCGCTAATTCGTAGTTGAGAGTTATTATAATCTAAATTTATTATGTTACAGGTAGCTAACTCAATGGAATCTATAAGATCATACTCTGCTCTTATAGCAACATTGATAATGTTAATCATCTCAGATTATCTTCTATACAAGATGGTGATCATATTCTTGACTTTATGCTCATGTATCGCTTATATTATCATGGCAAGTTCATCAAGCTTAATAGAATTGAAAGTTAGTACTAATATTAATAACATATTTATTTCATAATAATGTTAACAATGTTATTATAGTATTAATTAATACTATAATAGGCTTAATTGTAGGCTAATTGTATAGGCGTGGACTTGTTAACTCTACAAGATGGGGGCACATACTTTTTATTAATGACAAATAACCATCGTACCAAAATAACATTTTTAGAGGAATAAAAATATATATATGTAGGTATGATCGATAAATGACAAGACTCATGAAATAATATTCTTTTCAATAAACTTTTTTCATAAAAATTGTTGAAAAACTCAATATTTTTTAATTAGCAGTACCTACCTAGAAATAGTAATAATGGTAATCATAAATATTTTAAAGACAATGCTTTTTCAAAGCATTTATTTAGAGCAACAGTTTCAAACATTTTTCTCGGCGGTGTCCTTTTTTGGATTAAATTCTGCCACGGTGCCCTGCTGTAAATACGTACCATGAAGAATACTCATAAAAAAAATTAACTTAGACTTTCATTGATAGGTAATAATTTTTTTATAATTTTACTGAATGTAATACACTAGGTATAAGTATTCTAGGCATTTAGAAAACTTGAGATTGATACATTTTAATACTTGGAAAAAAATGTATTTTAAATGTGAATAAAGTAACATTACTAATGAGTAATGCAATGTGTGTGGCTGCTTGTATTTGGCAAAGTTTAGTAATATCTGGTATTATTTTTTTTGCCAACTGGAGTCAAAAATCAGATTCTGCGTTGAGGCGGTTGCGGTATTTGATTTTAGTTGTAGTATAAACAGAAAATCTTGTGTAGCAAAAGGTAATAGTGTATTTTTGCCTTTTCACTCAAAACCTTACATCTATTGTGTTTCAAATTTAGCCAGAATTTAGCATATAAATTGTTGTTAATCAAATTTTTTGATATCAGGTCTGAAGTCCTGATTTAATTGATTAAAGTTTATTTTTATGAGTTACAGTGCCATAAGTGCACTACATAGTTTAGTAACTGCTGATTTAGGGGTATTTATATAGCAAGCATATATTTTTATCAGATGTATATTGTGCGACCAAAATCTGCGCATGCCTATGAGTATTTGTGTTTAAATTATAGGTGTCAATGGTCTTCTACGGATCAGCTTACTGTACCACAACTGTTGCTTCATGTTATTTATTTGCTTTTATCAATGACAGAAAGCATTTTCAAAAGTCTGCTAGCATTGCGGCTGTTGGTTTGGAGCTTGGAAAATTCTTTGGTGATGTCTCAGGGCAAATTATAGTCAGCTTAAGTGGAGGAAACTACACAGCACTTCCATACTGTAATGCATTTGGTTAGTATTTATTAATATGTTATGTTGAATTTCATGTAAAATCCTACTCTATTTCTTATTGTTAAATGACAATTATTTAAATAATATCAAAATAAACACTTAATTCTACTATAATATATCAAATGTTCACATAATAATAACTAAGAGTTGTATTTTTCTGACAACTATACAAGAGCAATTAAATTTTTAAATGATATATAGTACCTATAGGCGATACAAAGATACAAATAAATCAAATAATTTTAAATATTGGTTTTCTAATAACTTATTTGTTTATGATTAAATTCAGTATCATTTTTAATACATATTATGTAGTAGGTACCATAATTTTGCTGTGAACAAATTGTTTTCTTAGTCATTCAAAATCTATTTCAGACAACTTATTAAGTTATAAATTATTATCAATTTATTTAATTCTTAGTTTTAAAATTAAATGTATTTATCTTTAAATTTTCTTGCTATAATTGTACTATTTAATTTAAATAAAAATGTATGACAAACGTTTAAGTATATAACAATATTAAATTACAATATTTTTATTTAGTTTTATAAGCTCAGCATTAAATTATCTACTATCAGATATTTTGTAATTATGTCAATACCTATAAGTTCATTTAGTAACCAAAATATATTTTTTCAGCTATGTTCTTGGCTACAATATGGGCTTTTTTATTTCCTTCTTTGAATAGTAGGAATTCTTTAGAAACATATTCACCAAATGAAAATACTACGCTTCTTAAAAACAGTGAAAAAATTACATCCGACTCACATGAAATAAAACATTGTAAGTAAACAAACATTAAAAAACCACAATTTTCAAACAAAAGATGTAAAACTATATACAGTAAATAAACATTTATGTCTTGTTAAAATTGTATATTTACACTTTTTTATGTCTAGGTAATACCAGGGTAGATAAAGAATATAAGATAATAATTGTTTTGAAACAAATTTGGTTAGATTTTAAGACTTCATTCTCCAAAACAATTATATTAAAAAAATCTCTTTGGTACATTTTTGGTATGGCAGCATATGTTCAGGTACTTATTAAAATGTTTAAACATTTTTTTTTAATTTAATAGGATTATGACGTATGAAGTAACAATAATTCATAAAAAGTTTTGCATGTTTAATAACTTTATATCTACCAAAAACTTAATAAGTAATTTATTTTATTAATAAGATATATTATGTGTTATAAATATTTTTGTAATTACCACGTCTATTCCAAAAATTAATTTGACCTATGTCTAGAAAGATTAATTTATAGGTACTAGTACATTATGTATTAATGACTAATGTTATTTAGCTTACCCCTTCCATTACAAAAAAAAAAAAAAAATGAAAAGTATGTTGTTATATAGTAATATTAATAATAATTTATATTATAATAATTAATTCTATCGTTTTATTTTAATATAATGTAATATTGAATGATGATTACATGATTATTTCAAAATAAAGATTATTTTTAAATTAAAATATCCAGGTAAACTATTAATGAGTTGTATTAACATTAAATGCAAAGTAAATAAAAATTTACATATTATAATGATGAAATTAACTAATTTTGCAGTGCTCAACTGTATAGACAATCAATTTATGAGTACCTATGAGCTACGACACAATGCTTTTATCGACATCATTGATACATTTATGGTTAGACAACAAATTTCTCTGTATCGTAGTAAATAACATACTAAGTTATAATAAATAAAATGGCTTCATATTATGTCCTACGCTAGGTATGTTTCACATTATAATAATTATTATATGTAGAGGTGTCAAATAAAATATAAATTATTAAGAATTTTTAATCAATTTATAGATAAAAAAAAAATTATTTTTTAATTTTAATTTCAGAATAACAATATTTTCTTTATTATTTGTTTTTACAAACAGTAAACCATCAAAGTTTATAACCCATTTTGGTAGGGGTCAAGATAATATTTTAATTTTTTGATTCTTATAGATTTTAAATAATATTAATGTACTGTACTCATTTGTCGTCTATAAACATGGTAATAATGATGTCTTGTCAAATGGATTTGCTGAGTCAATGGTCACATTATGTGGTTAGTATTTTCAAATTTAATGATTAATTATTAATTATTTTAATTTTAAAATATGTATCTGATTAATTGACCTTTTAAATAATTATTTACAATACTATTTAAGACATAAACATTAATTTTATAGATATTATAAATAATCATTTTTAGTTTTTTTTTGTTTTGTTACTTCAGCTGCAACTTTATAATAAAGATGGCATAGAACTTTTTGAATTTAAAATAAGAATAATTCATATAGAATTAAGAAAAGGCTTAAATTTTTCCAATGTACTACTTACAAAATTTATATATACTTCATAGAAATTTCTGTTACTATTTTCTTTTGCATTCTTATAATTTTTCTATGGTCAAAACTTTAAAAGTAACATATTACAATATTAAAGAAGGAAGAAATAGAGAAAGAGATAAATTAGAGAAATTAAGTCATTTAACTATAAAATATAACTTACTAAAAAAATAAAAATAAAATAATAATAATACATGAACCCTTTTACATGGTAACATGGATAAATTGATATTATTATTTTTATTATGAAATAATAACTACTGCCTTATCACTTATTAAAATATTATTTCATAAGTAACAACTTTTTATAGATATATTTTATACAATGTCAGTGTAAAAAATAGTCAGCAAAGTTTAAGTATGCAAGATGTCTTAAAATTTATTAATAATCTAAAAATGACTGAAATTATATCTATAAGGTTACAATGTTTCAAAATTGCAGTATATAATATAAAAAACAATATTTGATTAAACTGTTATACATATTTGAATTTAAATAAAACAAACATAGTATAATGAACATTGTTTTAATTATTATTATTTATTAATATATTTATGTCTTAGGAGCTTTGGGTGCATATCTTATTGGTAAAGTGCAATTGGATTGGAATTATTATGGTGATATATTTACATCATTTTGTTCTATTTTGATGGGTGTTTTCATGATATCTTGTTACTTTTATGAGCGTATACAATTAATATATTTGTCATATATATTATATGGTCTAGTTAGTGAAGCAATTTTAGTATTAACCTTGTAAGTATAGAATTTAATAACTTTAAAAATAATTCAATAAATGGTATTGTTGTGGTTAATTATGTCACATAGTTTGAGATGAATAACAAAGATTATACTAAGCCACTAAAGTATCTAATCATTTGTCCAATTATTTAAATAATATAAATAAATGTAATTCAAGGCAAAGTATATTTTATAGTCAAATAAATTATTGTATGCTGGTTTTAAAGTTTAAGTTCAAATATGAAATATTAAAAATATGTATTAAATGATTTTGGTAATGTTGATAGCAAAAAAGGTCTTGAATGAGAATACTACATAATTACCTAATAAAAATGTAGCATTTTATTTATTTTTGTTTAATTTGTATGATTTTTTTTTGTTTTTAGATCTGAATTAGCAAATCATCTAAAAAGTCAATGTTTTTCCCTTATAATTGGGTTTAATTTATTAGGTGCTTTAGTTATGTCAGCTATTATGACATTTTTCTTTGTTCAATTTAATTTTTTAGAAATTACTGTTCCTGGAAGAGTAAGTAAAAAATATAATATTATAATTTATGAATGTAACATAATTATTGTATGTATGTAATTATTATTTTGTTTTAGTTTTTGTTCATTGGTGGTTTGTACATTATCCTTGGAATCATGTTTTTGATTATGTATTTTTTTGAAGGCCGAAAAGGAAAACAATATATGCTGACTGATATTTATTATTAATACTGTTAATATTGATATACATCACTATCTCAAATATTTTTCATAGTTATTTCTAGTTGATATAAATTCATTCATAGAATTATTTTAAAAAAGAGCATCAAATTATTGTTATAAATCATTAATTCAAGTATTTTTCATAGTTATTATTAGTTAAAAATTATTTTGAATGTATTTATCATTAAATAAATGATTTTAAAGAATTCATACCATTTTTATTAAAAAGGATTAGTAAAGAGTAATAAATAAGAATTGTTACAAATATGAGTAGGAGTATAAGTTTTAATATGACATGTGTCATTAGCTAATAGTTGGAAATAATTGGTTGAATTTTTATCTAATTGTATTTAGCTTTAACAACTAATTATTAGATATAATTAATATTTATTACATACCTTTATTTTATTTTCTTAAATTTTAATTTGATTTATAAAAACTGTTTTATTTTTAAATTTTAAGGGGGTTATGCGGTTAGGCGCCTAAATTATTCTTTTCCTGTTGTTTTTCATGGATTCTTATACAATTTAAAGTTCTAATAAAATGTGGTTTCACTGTTACCTAGTTATTAGATATATGTGGTTTACGTTTTGGCTTTTGCCATCCAGTGACTATGTGTTAGTTATAAATGGTTAAAGGTTAAAGCCAATTATTAGTCTATTAATTATTTTTTCATATTTCCTATTGTTAATATTTATTTTATGATTTATTCCATTTTAGAAGGTAGGTAAGCATTAGATATTTATTTGTTTTTTATATGTCGTAGATTTATGTATTTATTTATTTTAAATTTATGTTTGTGATAAACTTGACGACTTAGTCTGCTTATTTCTTTTCCTATTATTGTGGCCTAAAATAAATAAAAAAAAATCTATTTTTGAAATGTTGTGCATTCATTGTATTTGTTATTTTTGTAATTCTGTGTAGGTATACGTTTGTTCAATGTGCTGAGAGTTAATAATAATGAATGATATTCTTAATTTAAGATCAGAGGAGAGGAGCTAAATAATTTATGGGGCTCAGCCTTTTATAAAAAAATGTTTTTCTAAATTACTGAACACCCGTAGGTACTAACCAATATTAGCCCGTTTAGCGGTGAATGATGATTTACAATTAAACGTTTATTTAAAATTGTTATTTTGGTGTTCATTGCCCAAATACATGTAGAACCAAAACCTGAATAAATGATTTGGGTGTAATCGTGTAAACTGCAAAGCTCCATTATGACGTATCTATTGTAGGCACTGTTTTAAAAATGGCGGTGGCTTCAGCTAAGTACTTATTGAAAGTTGTTTGAGAGAAATGAGAATGGTTATGTGTAATATATTTTGATCAACAATAATAGAATATATTATAATAATATTCTTTTTTTTTCCTATAATCATTGTTTTTTATGCGACTGCTATTCTTTAGAATTTAGATTATTTTATTAGATAGATAATGAATAGTTAAATTACGATATTAGATAATGAAATCTGAACTGAGCGGTATACCTATGCATTGGTTTTATAATGATGGTTTTATTTTATGTTTGTGTATATGCACACCTGTTAAACGTTATGTGGTAGAAAAAAAATTCTTCTATCTTCAAATTTTCGGAGTAGTTGGGTGGTTTCTGGTATGAACGTATACCATGGTACATTGTACGAGTACATAGGTATCTAGTGTGTGAGTCGTGTGGTAACTTAACTGTTTTTTTAATTGTTAAAAGTACCTATTGAGTTCCAGATGTCATGTCAAATCGAAAATTTTTTTTAAAGGTAAGAGATTTTAGTGTCATTTTTATCACGCATACACTGAAAGTTTAATTTTCGATACATTCTTAAATGACCGTTTTCATCCAGCCAACAATAAATATTTTTTTCTTGTGGCTGCAATGATTGGAAAGGTTTCTTTCCAAATCGGATCGATATAAACATTATACATTTTGTCTTTTATAACAAACACAAGTCATATGTACTCGTATGTAAATATTTTAATTAATTTTTAGTGATGAAAGGTTGAGGTCGAGACTACATTTTCATGCTTACCCTATATAATAAGAATGACAGAAACCAGTTTTATACTATTTAAAAATATATTTAATAACTTTCATGAAATTTCGGAGGGGAAGAGGATTGAACTTCTACGTGTACCAACGCGTATATTTACATGAACTTTTGAAAGATTATTTCTTCTAAGTACCAAGCAGCTGATAAAATTTATGATTTAAAAAGATATATAGATTACTATTAGTACTTACACAATATGAGAGATGAAATAAATTTCATTGTAAATGTAAAATCAATGGATCCATACACTCGTAATTTAAAATAATAATTCAATTTACACTATTAAAATAACAACTGATTTTTTTTTTTGAAGGGGGAGCTAATAGCTGCCGTAAGTCATCCTTCTGATTACAGTTCATAAATGTGTGGTTTGTGTTGGAAACTTTGTACCTACATAAATGAAAAAGCTTATTCCAGTTCTTGTCGTTCAGTGTACTTACCTATTATTAATTTAAAATTAATAATCATATATAATATATGATTTAATACTTTCTGTTAATGTTTATATTGTTTTGGTTGTATAGTTAACAGATTTATGAACTTTTATAATTATAAATATTAATATATAAATATAAATATTCATTGTTAATCGTTTAGGTGTTCAATAATATTTTATTGATAGTAACTAGAGCAGTAGAACTAAAGTAGATATTAAACTTATCTGGAATGATGGTTCTATAAAAATGTGTTAACCTAAATGTCCGGCTAATTTGCCTATCGTTAAATCCACCAATAGAATAATCGTCTTAACTTGTTTAAAACAGTGAGAGTATTTTTCAACCCGTCCTACTTAAAATAAATACATCGATTTCATAGTTTAAAACTTTTTAGGCGATATTGTTAAATAGGTATTTAAAAAAAAATTGGGAAACTGTTCTGCTGTACAGTAAAAGTCGAGTGTATACCTTGTTACTAAGGATGGTATATTGTATTATAAGTAACAAAATAAAAAGATCAATTTATAGAAAACTGTTTAAGCGTAAAATTCCCTCTTTTCCTAATTATTAACAAAAATTTTGTGGAAAATATTTTCTTTTGACCATCCAAATTACCAACTAGATCCAATTCGCTATCAAAAATCACTCCTAAAACTGAAAATTGAAGCATTTTTTTTCGCTCTAATTAGTAACCGGCGATGACAATCTAAAAAAAGCAACAATAAAATTAATACATTTATTGAATCGATATGCTCAGAATTTAAATATCAAAATTATGAAGTCATAATACCTATTTGTTATGAGTTATGACTATTATTATGATCATATTTGGGGTAGGTATTGATTTTAATTGTTTTAATGTATTACCAATTTAAAAATATTTTTAGTGACGATTTGAAACTTAGGTATAATAGGTTAGGTTAAGCCATAATCTAGAATTTAATAAAACCCTGCTTAATTAAATAAATTTAACCTATCCGCAGGTCTTGTTGGGTATTAACTAGTGTTGGGCAACGATATAATTTTGTGTATCGATATCGTTCAGATTTTCCCGATATTTTATTGCGATATCGTTATTTGTACGATATCGATATCGTATCGAAAATATAATTTTATGTTTACCTAAACAATTAAAAAAAAAACTTTTCGTAATAATTTGATTATTAATCAGTGTTAATTAATTCGAAAAATAACGGACGTTTACATCACACCGACGACACAAATTATTACACTGTGAATTATGGAATATCCAGTGGTAGTGTGGTACTATACCGTATTCCTCTTAAAAGCCAGCTAAATATAATATTCAATAAAAGTTATAACATTGTTGGCAATATAAAAAAAACCTGTTTCCTTTTTAGATAACATTATAATGGATTATTAATAGTGTACAATAATTGACATTTCACTGGAACACGCGTAGTGTACACCAAACGTTATCAGCTGATACCTATTATTATTTATTATAGCTTAAAACCTACAAATAGTAAATACTAAATAGTAAATACCATGTATTTTTCTTGAAAAATATTATTTTCGATATAACGATATATCGTACAATACAAAATAATATCGATGTCGATAATTTGTCACGATATCGATATCGTATCGAATTATCGATATCGTTGCCCATCACTAGTATTAACGCTCAATTAAAATTTTATATAGGTACTTATTAGTTATTACTTAATATTTAGATAGTTCGTGGGTGGTGGATAAAATTACGTATTAAGCATCTATTTAAATTGTACATAATATGTCGATTATCAATGGTTGGTTGTCGGCAACATATACCTCATTAATTAACAATATACTGTTCAAGTAAGCATTTATATAAAATATAATATTATACAGTATATTCTAAAAGTGCCGTATCATCCTTAATATCTTCATGAAAAATTGATAAATTTATTAAATTTATAAACGTGGTTTGTTTTACAGTACTAAGTATGAAAATTCTGATTGAATGGTATAAAATTCATTTTTTTTTTTTAAAAAAATTAAAAAATTATCTAACATTTTTTTTATGCATTTGAGAATTTAAAATTTTTAAAATAGCCATTTTGTTGAACATATTTTTTAAAACAGTTCAATATATATATATATATATATTAAAAATGAATAAAAATTGATCAAGTTAGAGCAAGTTTTGTTTTTGAATAATTGTAATAAAAAAAATAAATTGTTTCACATTTCAATAATAAAATATCTATTTCAGCATGACAATACTTTTACATACCTAATTAAAGTTAAGATAAAACGCACGGCTATTTTTATTTTTATTCAAATCAAAACTTTAATTAAGTATGTAAAAGTATTGTCATGCCGAAATAGATATTTTATTATTGAAATGTGAAACAATTTATTTTTTTTATTACTATTATTCAAAAACATAACTTGATCAATTTTTATTCAATTTTAATAAACTTTTTTTTTTTTGAAATTTTTTAAAAAATATGTTCAACAAAATGGCTATCTTAAAAATTTAAAATTCTTAAATGCATAAAATTTTTGAGTTTAAAAAAATTGAGTTCTATGCCATTCAATCAGAATTTCCATATTAGTACTATAAAAAAAACCGCGTTTAATATATTGATTTTCCATGGAGATATTAAGGGTTAAAGGGACTTTTGGGACATACTGTATATTACCTAGTATCAAATTATTATTTTTTTTATTTTAAGAAAACGTTATCATCATTAATAATTGCATCGTGCTCGGTAAATTATTTTGTGTTACTAGTTGGGTACTCTATACTATAAATATTATGATTCACTTCAGTAGGTGATCTATTACAAATAACTTGTTAATTTAAATTTCAATTGGTATAGTACATTTTTATGATTTATTCAAATTATTATCTACTTATATTTACCAGCTACTTAACTCCCTTCTGAAGTCGTCTGAACTGAATGCGTCGGTGGTTTGTACTATTTTAGCCCAATAACAGGTATTATGAGTAAATTAGGTATACCTATATTAAAATACTACAAAATATTTTATTATATTGAGTTAAATAAAATAATGAGCTCATAATAGTTTTTTTCACATTTTTAGCGATGGAAAAGTGGAAAATAATTACATATAATGTCGCAGTATTTATGTTTTTTTATGGATTACGACCTCTTGATACATATTTAACATCTTATCTTACTGGACCAGATGGAAACATTTCGCTCTCAGAGGTAATCACTATTACTTATGTCTATTACGCATTTTAACTTGTTATGGTATCAAAATAAAATTGAAACTTATAGTAATGATGATTATTGATTGCAAATTGTAATTTATTTGTTTAATTTTTCAGTAAGTACGTAGATACCTACTAAGTTTTAACATCTGATTAGCAATTATTAATTAATAGGTATACCGTAAGTGTAATGACTAAATCTACTGATTCTACTAGCTACTGAATAAATGAGTAATAGGTTTGGTCTTAGTGTCAGCTTTTATTTTTAATAAGATAATTTATTTATATATTTTGTAAATTACATCTACCTATAACAATATGATTTTGTCAAAACTGGTGTTGTGAAAATATTTCGTTTTATCGGAATTTTTTTTTGAATTTTTTTCTGATTATTTTGAAAAATGTACTGATATTTTTACCTCTCCTCTCCTATCAAATTACCAAATAAATTAAACTTAATATGATAGAAACTATCTTTAATATTTAAGATAGAACATTCGTTTTTTTTTAAATTTATAAAAAACAAATTTAATCGTTGCATGCAAAATGTTGAATCAGTACAAAAGGTTCGAGTGTAATATTATACTATCTTTTTAAAAATAAAGGACGTATAAATGCAATTTACAGCTTATGTTTAAATATTATTATTAATTGTTATTCATAATGTGTATATTCTAATTAATCTACTTTATTTATTAGTTTTGATAAATAATTTAATTGTAAAAAACATTGAAAATAAAATGTCAATATACACAAGTGTTTTTATACTTAAATAGTTATTGAATTTTTAGTTTTTAAATATTTGATGTTTAATAGTTTAAGTATCTAAATAATAAATTAATTTAAAACGTTGTGGTGGTTGATTGTATTTTAACTTTTAAGTTTGTATTCTATTGATTAACTTGAATTATTTCTGACTAGGTATCTGTGTAGGTTTGATGTGCTAATGGTACTAATTGATGTATAATTATTACAAACTTAATAAAATTCTTAGTTAAATAATGTTGACTAATATAATTCAAGAAATACTGATTCAATATTAAATAATAATTAAAGTGCATTGCTCCGTTACACAAACACATTTGAATTATTCAGAGGTACCTAATTAAAATCATTTTGCATTAAAAAAAAAAAAAAAAAATGATAGTACCATAGATATCAGTAAAATATCTATATTTTTAAAACTGTTAATTTTATTGATAATATAATATAATTTTTTTTTATTTAATATAAAATCAAGTAATTTAATAACTGAATCTAAAGTTTTATATTTTTTTATTTAATCACGTGAACAAATTATTTATTATACATATTTTATGTTATTTTCTATCACGTTATAAATATTATTTTACAGCTATAAAATTTTTAAAAATTGTTTTTCTTTGAAAAGTTTGAAGTTATTACAAAACATTATTTTTATCATTTTCCATCGTTATAATTTTTTAAGTTTTAATTTAATATTTTATAGCAGAATACCTATATTTCCAAAAATGTCAATAGGTATATGAGGGCTCTAGTTTCAAAGTGTACATTCTCCATATTCACTAAATTTTCAGAAAACGAAAAAAACTAATAACTTAATCAATAAATGTTTTTTCTCCATTCGAATTTTTTTAACCTTTTCATATAGTTATACAAAGATGATTTACCAGTTTTTTGCTTAAAATAACAAGATTTTGTCGTCGTTCTGACACAATTTTGTTTGGATATTGTACAGTATGAAACTAACAATAGGAAATTGCTCGTTTTGAAAATAACTTTACTAAATAATAAATAGGTATTAAATTAGAAGTCTTTATTCATTTTTTTTTTAGTTTAGAATTTACAAAAAAATTAGACTTGTCAATTATTATTACTTTAAATATTTAATATTAAATTTAATAATAAAACTCGTTAAAAATAAAAAAGTTTAATAAGTTAGTCAATAAAATATTTTTATTTATTACACGGCGACATTGATTTCATCTTCTATTGCATGACGTTCACATAATATATTGTCTTCCTCAACATAACCCGGTATTTCATCTCCCTCTATGACAAATTTGTAAAAAATTAAACCCGGATCATTTTTCCACTCATTTCCATAATGTGCAGTTAGTAGGTTATTTACATCAGTTTTCTTGTTACTGCTGACAACATTCCGAATTGGAATTTTGGATGGTTTCATGTTAATTATGTTCCTTGCTTTTTTTTGTAATCGGTTTTCCCATTCCAATATTCGAATTGTACACGCCTTCACCGCGAACTAACACTACTCCTTTTGAATTCTTTGTAATAATCATTCTTTTCATTTTAGAAAAAGCAAAATGCCACTGTCCTGGAGGCCTAATAAACTTGCTGGTTTCAGTTTTCCAGTCATAAATTTCAACATCTTTTCCAACTTTCAGGACAGTCCCATATTTTGAAAAAATATGCAAATATTCCTGAGGTTCTAAAATTATTTCCTTCTTTTTGCACTCCACTTCGATATGACCAAAAACACGATCCGGAGGAATAAAAGAGTGCCCTCTTACTGGGAATACAACTTCAATTTTTGAAATAACATTCTGTTTGGCGAGCCAGTTGCAACCATCACACATAAGCTTAATAGTATGAATATCAGTAAAATTTGACGAATTTAAAACGTGATGAATACAGGAAGCAATCTCATTTGAACTTTTGTCGTATTCATTTTCAGTCCAACAGAAACAGGTGACTGTATTGGGATTTAATTTGCTTTTAGAAGTGCCTCTCACAACAGTAAAGTTAAACATGTAAATTTGTCGAGAATAGTACGCTTGCTGATCAGGAACTTTCGGTAGAACTTGATTTTTTTGACAATCAAACGAAAAAATCACGACACCTTCTTTAGGTTCCCTTAAAATTTGGTAAAATGCTTCTGCTTTCATTTTATGCACCTTTTTCTCCGTCAATAACCTAGCCTTGGTATCCTGATCATTGCATCTTTTAATTTTTTCGGTCAACTGTAAGCATGTTGAGCAAACGTCAGTCCTAGGCGTGCCGAAACCTATGTTGTATTCGGTGTTAAAAATTAACCTAAAATAACTCTCTTTTACTGGAAAGTTGATGTTTTCCTTCATGTACATTTTCCACATCAATCTGATATTCAAAGTGGAGCTGAGATATAAACGAGAGCTGTGTCCTCGGCAATAGTGAGATTCAATTGCCTTAAATTTGTTTATAAATTTCATAACTGAATCTCTCTGGGCTCTGTTCATTACCAATTTTCTATCGCCTCCACGATTCTCCTTGGGTGGTAATGAGGTATTAAAAAAGTTTCTAGTGACAGTGTCAATTCTTCTTCTAGGTTTACAAATAAAAATAAAAATGTTTAAAATGCATATTTTTTTATGATTATTTTCTATATTATTATATAACACTAACCGTATTTTTTTCTGCTGGTTTCTCTTCCATTCAGCTGTATTTCGTATCCTTTTTCTGGTCTTCTGGTCGGTTGTAGGAGTAATATTAACTTCCATTATTTTTGTATTAAATTTTAAACAGAACACACATGAACGAAATATAATAATATTATATAATAAATGGACAAAAGACACGACGTGACGTTAACAACAGCGCACAGTCAACTGAAAACTTAATATTCTATAATAAAATATTATTGACAATGATCATTAAGACGTCATTATCGATAAGCGAAAACGCGTGCAAACGATGTACAATGTATTTATAAATCTATTTTTATAGTAAAACTCGTGAAAAATAATATTTGATTAGATATTGTACGTATTGTAACTAAAAGTTATAGCAAGTTTAAATATACACTGGAGAATGACCATTTTGCTCGGCAATAGTGAGATTGTACGTTTTGAAACAAACTTATTCAAGGAGATTGTACTTTTTGAAACTAAATGCAATTTTCAATCTTAAAATACACTGGAGATAGACCATTTTGCTCAAAAATAGTGAGTTATTCGAATTCAGCGCTGACAATTGAATACGCAATGATATTTATCTCAGTTTTCATGAAACATGGAGAATGTACACTTTGAAACTAGAGCCCTCATATTATAAAAATCAAATGAAAAAAAATTTGGCGAGTACTACTATGCTATACATCAGGTGCCGAGGAGATTACTGTTATGAGTATATTAAATTTGAATTCAATCCTTTATAGTTTATATTATCATTATTCTATATCAAAAACGATTCTGAGCGGAGACAGTCAATCAGCTTATATCACATAGTGATATGTATTTTTGATCTAATTAATGAAGTTATTTATTTTACTTCTAGTAGATCGTTATAATTTTTTTTCGAAAATATTACGTTTATTATATTATTAGTATTTAATTATCATAATAACAATATTTATACCATATTATATTAATTTGTACGTATAACACAAAATGTAATAACAATTAATTAATAAAAATAAATAATTATTATTAATTTAATTTTTCTTTCTATAAATATCCGTTAAACAGTAAAAATAGATTCATCGTATAAATAGATAATTATTTATCTTAAATGAAAATAAATAAAAAATGTCATTACGTATAATAAAATTTATAATAATACAATAGTATAATATGCAAAAGTTTTAAGTTCCCATGAATAATGTTTTTAAATTATAATAAGATAATTAATATCATTATTTACCGTTAAAATAATTAATTTCGTCCAAATGTTCATGAAGAATAATTTCGTTAAAATTCTTATTTCAAGTACAATATAAAAAAAAAATTGTACCCATGTATTTTTAATATTGTTATACAGATCCAGTGGCGGATCCAGAAATGTAATAAATCATCATGTTAAGCCCCGATTGACAGTTTATCGTAATTCTTTTGAGTAGTGGGTAATTTAACTTAAGTTCAAGGGGGAAGGGGTATTTATACCATATTCCCCCCTTAAATCCGTCACTGTACAGATTTCAAACTACTTCCAAAGTTGAAAATCAAAGCATTTTATCGACTATAGGTACTTATCGTGTTAATAGACAAAAAAAAAAAAAAAAAATAGTAATATAAAAAT